TAATTTTTGTTATCTACTACAATTTACATACAATTTTGAACGAATTGAACTACAAAGAGAAAACATTTTCCACTTTCATCAGCTATGAGACGGCTAGCTTTTTAGAAAAGCTATTACTTGTTCAGTTTATAAGAATTCATAATTGAAAGGGTTATTTGCATGAGTATAGATCAATTGCTTTTCTTTCACCCAAGCCATGCATATACTCAGAGGACAAAAAGGATAAAAAAACTTGAACACAAGTACAGTATAAGTAAACTTTTTGAAAATAAAATAGTTCCCTACTTTACCATCTTACTATTTTATGACGTATTAGGACCTAAATTAAATAAATTTTTTTGCAAAGTTTTAAAATATCCAGTTACCTTTAAAGAATAATGATAAGATCCGAAATAAGGTAACTTTAAACTGTGAAGGAAAACATGTATATATGATGAATCGTTCTAAACCCCAACCCTTTTACATAAGTCTTATAAAATAACCTTCTCATTATAAATTCTGATGTACGTATAGCACCTTTAACTAACAATTATAAGAAAGTTTAATTTAAGACCACTTAAATTCTAAATTCTTATTTGTAAATATATCCAGTTCTTACTTAACTTATTCTTACACTTCAGCACATTATGAATATTATTTTTAAAATTTTATGATGACAATCCTATGAATTAGTTATAATATTAATTATTTAGTAATTATTATTGCCTAAATTCAGTCATCTGTACATAATTAAATGTTTCCTTATGTTCTAAGGTGTATATAGTTGCTACAATTATACCCTATGGGTAATGCTCCACAATTAATGGAGGAATATACAAGAAACTGAACTGAACTGAACTGATTAATCGTAGCATGGAAGTACTATATTCAATATAGTACTTCCATGGTCTTAATATCCATCCAATGCATAGTAATATTTCTTTTTCATCACTTTTTTTATTCTTAAATATAAGCGTTGTCTATTTCTATCTGACAAGCACACACATGGACTTTTTCATTTGTATAGAAAGTCCCTGGCCAACAATAGCAACAACGTCCTTTTGATGATCAATTCATTATAAAAAAAACTACTAAACTCTCTAAACTAAACTATGTGGACAGTGGGTCATCGCACACAGGTTTGTTTAACAAGACAGCTGATTGGAAAAATGTGATAGATTGTCACGCCTACATTAAACTGTTGTCCAATCAAATGCCAGCAGAAACCTGTCAATAAAAAGGTTATTGCAAGCGTGGATAAGTTAGAGATTTGATTGTGTATTCGATATTTGAACAAAAAGTTAGATAATCACTATTCGTTTAGAATTAAATTGCGAAGAAAGTGTTCGTGTAACAACCCTCCCCTTTTCCCGTTTTCGCCTTCTAATTTTCACACTTTCTTTTTTAACAGAAAAGTATTAAATATGAGCGTACTGCAAGTTTCTGAATTGTACAAGCATTCTATATAGCGACTTGTGATTTCGGGGAACGTCATATTTTCAAGATTTCACAGACCTCTGAAAAAGTTAGAACATACAAGTTTCATCTACCATTTGCAGAAAAAACAATACCAAATTATATTTGTAAATTGGAAGAGATTAAGAATTATAGTTTAATATCCGTACTAAAAATCGTCTGAAATATAACAAAACATATTTCTCTCTGCCTGAATGCAATCGAAAGCAAATTTTCATTTTATTCTTCATCTATTTGCAAAAGACGAAGAATTCTCCTTAAAACTGTAAATTATTAAACAGGCATACTAACTTTAAAGGATAAAATACAAGTTTGTACTACCATCCAAGGAAATAAGTGTTCCATAAAGTAACTAATCCTTAATTCACAACCGTCAAAACTCAGGACTCATTTTTGATATTTACCTGAGAGATCATAAAGGACATACATCTACCAAGAACTTATTATAACCAAAATGGCAAAAATGAAACAATATCTATTTTTTTTTTTGGTAGACGAGTAGCAAATTGAATAAGGAAATGTTATTGAAAGAGAATTAAGATATATGATAATTTTTCCAAGCAAAGTGGCAAAAACATGCATATATAGAGTTACGTAGGTGCAAAACAAAACTATATATTAATAGTCAATTTCGACTATTTAATAAAGGATTATAGGTCGAACACGACACACGATTCTTGATTTCCAATGTACATGATTTAAAACCGTGTTTTTTCTTCTACAGATTGCATTTTGAAGAACACATGCTTGGCCATGATCGTTGAATGTTCAGCGTACAATATTACATAATATTCAGGATGATTTCAACGAAAAGCAAACGAAAAAGATTTATTTTTTTAAATCCGAGCATTCCTTAAATTCAACATTTAAAACCGTTTTGTTTTACGCAAAACATATAAAATTGAGAATGACTGATGTACTTTTTATTCTCTCTAACAATTAGGATTGGTAGTCCCGACAGCTTTCTCTCCATTAGTAAGGGAGGTCCTGGGTAAGGGAGGTCCTATTCTTAACAGTAAGCGAACACTGAAAAGTCACAGGACAAAAAGTCACAGGACAGGAAGTGACAATTGTTTAAGTATGTAAGAGAAATATCTTGAAAAATTACTTTGTATTACATATATTCTTTTTACAGTTTATGAAATTGTTCATTAGCCTTGGTAAATGAAGATTTATTAAATTTTAATCATGCAAATGATATAATATTTCTTAGCACCATGAAGCTGTTTAGGTACCAATCCACTTTGATAGTTTGTTTACTAAACAATTATTTGTTCATTTAATACATTTGTTTACAGAGTTGGTTTATATATACAATAGTTCAAGATACATACAAAATATATTTTTTTAAATAAGTAGTTTCTCTTTTTCAAAGAAAATAGTCTCAGAAACTGAATTGTGACCTTTCGTCTGTGACCTTTTGTCCACAAGCACGCATTATTTATGAGTAAAGTTGGAACAAAGGTCAATTTGGCTCTGATTCACAACAATTGTTCTCTTGTTAACATGACCTTTTTTGTCGACACGCGCTCGCCGTATCAGGCTAGAACAAACCAATGCATATCAATGTCACATGTGTCTTTTCCTCGACTGAATGTTATAACAATATTAATATTGAATACAATTGTAACGTAATGAATTGCATTTGATCCTAGTCCTAAGTTTAATTTTTGGTTGAATCAGTTGAACATCTAAGTGATCATCGATGTGTAATATTTGACACTGGACATTATTTTAGGAGCGATGCAATACAAATAATGTATTTCTATCAATCATTTACTTCAGTTAAAGACTTTTGAATGTAACAATATGGTACAAATCGATTTGATTTACTGAATTGCATATTTCTTTTTATCGAAATGAAAATATTATAAACTGCTCCCGGTTAATATAAATAAGAAGATGTGGTATGTGTGCCAAATAATCATCTCCATCCAAGTTACAAAGTATAAAACAATTATAGATTAAAAATACGGCCTCAACACGGAGCTTTGGCTCACACCGAACAGCAAGCTATAAGGGTCCCCAAAATGACTAGTGTAAAACAATTCAAAATGGAAAAACAAAGGTATAATCTATAAGTACAGTCATTTCGCTACGTTATTCTATAGCTTTTTGGTCAATTTCGAAAAAGCAAGTAAGCATCTCACTGTTTTTTAAATGAGAAGTAACGCTGGTGTTATAAAAAAAATCTGATACGAAACAGAAATATAAACCGTACACAAGATTTTATCAATCGTTGTTTGATATTTTTCTATATGATTTATTCTTGTATTAGTTCTTGCTAAAAAAAACTTGATGATAAAAAAAAATCAAGAGAGGTATCGAAATCGGTCTTTATAGGTACCTAATGGTAAATATAAACTGTCAACTAAATTCTTAAAATATTCTTTATTCTTGTTGCATTTTTTTTTGAAAAAATAATGTTTTATTTGTCAATGTAATAATTTTACCCGGTAAATCCTTATATAAGATAAAACATGGAACTTTATTCATTTTACGTCCATAGATAAAACATCATAAGCGTTGCATGGGTAATTATTTAGATAGTTTATGACAACCCGTTTCGGTTGACTGCTTAGATAATCCGTTTATTGAAATGTAAATAACTTTCACCAAGCAACTGTCATCTATATAATATTTAAAAATTTAAAGTAAATTAGATACTTAGAATATATTTTTCTTGACAAATTTTATATGGATCAGAACTATTATTTTACATTAGAAACAAAAAATGTTTAAGAAAATTTCAGAACATCTTTGGGATATATTACTTATCATTATATCTTATCGGGCGGAATGAATAAATACAGGACTACTTTATGTCAGAAAGCACGACTGCAAAGTTTTAATGACTAACACATTTCCCGGTTAAGACAATTAATCTTTTCTTATATAACCAATTAAATGTTAAAAATTCTATCGGGAAAAAATGAATTGTACGTTTGCATACGTTATTTAATGAAATAGATATACAGTATTACATTAAAAGACCACAAAAGAATATCCTCCTAGCTATGCCGATTTTATTCATAAAGGGGAGTAACCCCTGATAAACACAGATAAAGTGTCGCTCGTTTTATTTAAAATATTTAAAATCTTAACACGACTGAACACGATCTTACAGCAACTAAACAGATTTTTTACCTTTGGTCTTATTTTATCTGAACGTGATCTAATCAAGTCTTATTTGAACGCTAGAAGAATCTGTCTTGTTTATCTTGACCCGACTGATCTGACTGAACACGATATATCGGAACAGAGTCTGAAAGTCTAAACCGGTCTTAACGTTTTTCCCTAGCAGTAAATCAAGGCGATTAAGACTTGATCAGACCAAAATGACCGTTTCAGACTTAAATCTTGCTACTAGTGTTAAGTAATAAATCTAAATGACAACAAATATTGTTCGAAGTAATTGACGTACATTAAAGTGACTGTTTTTATTGCGCATATGATTTGTAAATACACTTTTAAGTTGATATCGATAATCTTGTTTATAACTATATCTTATTTAACGTTTAAAAATTGTTTAAATGTTCACTTACATTCAATAAAATTCCAGTTTATCACTAGAACAGTATAACAACGACGCTAAAACTGTATTTGTTTGAACGTGTAATTCACAATATTCATATTTTCCTGTTATATATTGTATAAACAAATCGTAGATGCGGTTTTGGTACTTTTCCAAAGGTTAATCTCAAGGTTGATTTCAATTTGATAATTTGACTATTGCCTGAATTCATCTGTTTCATTTTTGTCAAGCCTTCGACTTTTGTCGAAAAAACGAGATATAGCGATCCTATATTCCGTCGTCGGCGTCGTCGTCGTCGTCGTCGTTGTCGTCATCGTCGTCGGCGGCGGCGTCCACAAATATTCACTCTGTGGTTGAAGTTTTTGAAATTTTAATATCTTTCATAAACTAACCTGGTTTTCTACCAAACTTGGACAGAAGCTTGTTTATGATCATAAGATAGTATCCAGAAGTAAATTTTGTAAAGATTTTTCAGGTTTTTTCGTATTTTACTTATAAATGGACTTAGTTTTTCTTCCAGATAACATTACATACAGTCTAGAGTTAAAGTTTTTAAAACTTTTATTAGATTCATAAACTATTCTGGATTTTAACCAAACTTGGACAGAAGCTTCTTACAATCAAAAGATAGTATTGAGAGGAATATTTTTATTAATTTTTTTCCTCGGTTTTGTTGAGCCTGCGATTAACAGCAAAAGTAGGCGAGACACTGGGTTCCGCGAACCCTTGCAAATTTTGAACATTTGCGTCTTTGTCATAAAATATGAATACTATGCGATAAAATTACATTAAATCCCATAAAACAGAAATATGATTTTTGTAAGTTTCTATCCTCATTAGTCCATTTTTAGTAGTTGTTGGTCACTCAATAAAGCACTGTCTTCAATTGTTTATGATTTTCGTTCTCCATTTGTCACAGTACTGTGACGTGAATTTATATTTCTTTCCTTTTGGTCTAATACACTAGTAGCAAGATTTCAGTCTGAAACGGTCATTTTGGTCTGATCAAGTCTGAATCAACTGAATTTACCGCTAGGGAAAAACGTTAAGACTTTTTAAGACTTTCAGACGCTGTTCATATATGTCGTGTTCAGTCCGTTCATTCATGTCAAGATAAACAAGACAGAAGGCTCTAGCTGTTAAACAAGATATGTTAAGACGGTTTTAGACGAATTCAGACCAAACATAAAAAGTAATGTTCAAAATTTTCAGATCGGGTTAAGATCCGTTTAGTGTGTCAGAATGATATTAGGAGTTACGCCCCTTCATGTGGATGATACATTTTAATTATAAAAAAATTACAATATAAATGCTAGAATGAAAAACGTATATTTTTAATAATTAAACATAAAATCATTGGTTGACGTTTTATTTCTTTTGGTCTTTTTTTAAGAGATTAGTGATTTTGTTTTGTTGAGGAAATAACTTATTCGCCTATAACTGTTTATGATTTTATTTTATTTTTTATTTTCTGATGTTAATTTATGTATTTATCTACTTATTCTTTGAAAAGAAGTAATTGCAAATTTTAAACATAACATTATCAAAAGAGAGAAAACACCTTATAAATTTCATGCGTCTGAAGCACGTTTCTGGATTTAACTTCATCGGGAACGATAAACGTAAATACAAATATGTTTTATGTCAGATAATTTATATCGTTAATTTCGTTATCTTTCGATACTTTCCTCTAAAACTTAATAATTACTTCGTGGCATTTAGTAATCATTCCCCGTGCGTGTTATTCTTTTTATATTTGGACAACCGTCTTCTTTTTTTTTTTTTGCTTTTATTTCGTAGTGATGCGTAGTCACCAAGGCCGCATCAGGGAACCATGTCTCCGAGTGCAGTTAATATTCTGAAAACTGCACTTAGACCGTGACGAGACAATAAAACTATAAATAACATACCATCGGAAAGAAGAAGATGTTGATGGGAGGGGGCGGGGAGGAGGTTACAGAATAGAGAATGAGTGGCAATAAATATAAAGAATAGAGAAAATGGATAAAAAAAATAAAGAATAGAGAATAATAAGGTGCTTGAATATAAAGAATTGATAATAATAGACAAAAAGTTTAAAGAATAGAGAAAATCGGCATAAAAAATTAAAGAATAAAGAACTAGAGGCTCTAAAGAGCCTGTGTCGCTCACCTTGGTCTATGTGCATATTAAACAATGGACACAGATGGATTCATGACAAAATTGTGTTTTGGTGATGGTGATGTGTTTGTAGATCTTACTTTACTGAACATTCTTGCTCCTTACTATTATCTCTATCTATAATGAACTTGGCCCAGTAGTTACAGTGGAAAATATTTTGTAAAAATTTACAAAAATTTACAAAATTTATGAAAATTGTAAAAAATTGACTATAAAGGGCAATAACTCCTTAAAGGGTCAATTGACAATTTTGGTCATGTTGACTTATTTGTAGATCTAACTTTGCTGTACATTATTGCTGTTTACAGTTTATCTCTATCTATAATAATATTCAAGATAATAACCAAAAGCTGCAAAATTTTCTTAAAATTACCAATTCAGGGGCAGCAACCCAACAACATGTTGCCTGATTGGTCTGAAAATTTCAGGGCAGATAGATCTTGACCTAATGAACAATTTTATACCATCAGATTTGCTCTAAATGCTTTGGTTTCAGAGATATGAGCCAAAAACTGCATTTTACCCTATGTATTATTTTTTTGCCATGTCGGCCATCTTGGTTTGCGGGCAGGGTCATCGGACACATTTTTTAAACTAGATACCCTAATGATGATTGTGGACAATTTTGGTTAAATTTGTCTTAATAGTTTCAGAGGAGAAGATTTTTGTAAAAGATTACAAAAATTTACGAAAAATGGTTAAAAATTGACTATAAAGGGCAATAACTCCTTAAGGGGTCAACTGACCATTTTGGTCAAGTTGACTTATTTGTAGATCATACTTTGCTGAACATTATTGCTGTTTACAGTTTATCTCTATCTATAATAATATTCAAGATAATAACCAAAAACGGCTAAATTTCCTGAAAATTACCAATTCAGGGGCAGCAACCCAACAATGGGTTGTCTGATTCATCTGAAAATTTGAGGGCAGATAGATCTTGACCTGATAAACAATTTTACCCCATGTCAGATTTGCTCTTAATGCTTTGGTTTCAGAGATATAAGCCAAAATCTACATTTTACCCCTATGTTCTATTTTTAGCCATGGCGGCCATCTTGGTTGGTTGGCGGGGTCATCGGACACATTTTTTAAACTAGATACCCCAATGATGATTGTGGCCAAGTTTGGTCAAATTTGGCCCAGTAGTTTCAGAGGAGAAGATTTTTGTAAAAGTTTACGGACGACGGACGACGGACGACGGACGCAGGACGACGGACGACGGACGCAAAGTGATGAGAAAAGCTCACTTGACCTTTCAGGTCAGGTGAGCTAAAAAAAGGACCCCCTCCAGATCCTCATAGAAGTTTTCGTTAAAACAATACAACCTAATTTAAGTTCAGCATCTAGTATATATCCTTGTAAATGCGTTAATCCTTTCTTTCATTTTAATAACAATTTTATTTAATATAAAATAATTATGTATTTATTTGTTTATTCAAGTTGCACTATAGAAAATAATTCTTCTTCGCCTTTTTCTTCCTATAATAGTAATAAATGTATTCGTTATTTAATATTTTCTGTCAATAAAGATTGAATTCGATGGCACGTGCCACTAATCAAAAATGATCCTTAAACTATCAAAAACTTGGCAATTACAATGGCTATTTCACAATTACATCATATGTACACCTGTCATGGTATCATAGCTCCGTTCATGTATGTGTAATTTAAGGTTCTGACACATTTTATAATACTAGTAGCTTCTTTCTGAACACTATTGACGACATTGTTAAAACTGCACGAACATATCACAAAACCGCAAATTTAGTGGTTAAAAAATAAACGATAATGACAAAAAAATAATTAAAAACTAAAAACAAAACAAAATTCTGTTGGAAGTAGCATATATTTACATGTATAAATTGTCTAGTGCTTTTATTACAGCGGTATACTTGTTTTATACACAGACCATATTCTGATCATATTCTATGCTAAGATATTGACAAGTCAGAAGTATATATGTTAAAAGTCGTTTTAAATCAATTCATTTCACAGCTGAGGCAAATGTTCCTTCCCATTGTTGAATGGAGGTTAAATAAATGTGAACAATAAAAAAGATGTATATTTCTTAGGCATGGAGCTAGGCATTTCTGAAGTATCTTTGATAGCATTTTTTTCCTATCAAAAATGTATGCTGGTATATATGTAACTCTAGGTGTTTACCTAAAATGTTATGTATATGTAAAAGTTTAAGATTTTTTTTTTAATATTTGCCAAAAAAAAAAAACATTATCCGGAAAACCATATAATGGCGTTTTGTCCTTTAATTCTGTTTTTGTGATTTTCTAACCTACCTTCTAATTGATACGTTAATCCAAACAGTGCAAGTGTGTAATGCAAACATGCAAAATTCGGCTTTGGTGTATCATGTTAAAACAATACCCATAAATTATGATAATTTTCAATAATTTTAGATAAGATTATGCAAGGAAATGTGTTATTGTTTTCTATTTATCTAGCAAAATTGTATCTTTTTTTACACAAAGATGTCGATAAATAAATTTGATACCCTGCATTTATCATGCATTTCAATAGCATATTGTCAAATTGTTAAAAGATCTCCTCCTTAACAGGGAATCCGTTAGTATTGAAAGTCCCTGTCCTAAATTATTGAATTTGTCATTCTGCATTGACAATATTCAATTTATCTTGGTGTAAGTAATACGCACTCATTCGGGCTAACGCCCTTAGTGTGTATCTAATACATATTATTTTCTCCCTCGTTTCACCCCTCCGATAATAAAGTTTTTTCTTAACTAGATATCGTAGAAAAACCAAACACAGTATAGGGTTGTGCGTTCGCTACAAGATCGCCTTGAATTTAACATGTTCAACATAAATATATACAATCAGCCATGCAAAAAGGCATAACATTTGTGTCAACTAATTCTGCCTCTTTAAAGGTCAAATGAAAGTTAGTCATTTCACTCTACTATGGAATGAAATGAACGAGAGAACTTTTGACGTGGTATAGTTATAATATAACTGT